TGTCTAGACTGTTATGAGGCTATAATCATGCACATAGCTGCCGGTCACAGTGTATCCTTACAGCGTTTTCTGCAGTGCAAGCTTTATCACATATTTTTTTTTTTTGATCTGCACAGACTTAGCATTCAACACGTCGCATGTGCAACTGATCAGGTTAGATGTGGGGTATGCGAAGGCATGCAGGGATCGACAAAATGGTGGAGCATGCCGGCCACAGTTTATGGTTTATTGGCTGATAATCGCAGAATATGCGGGTTAGCCTTGACTGCTCATCTGCGATGGTACTCATTAATTTTTAATTACAGAAAGCTACCTTCATACAGACGTGCTATCCTCAACTTTTTGTTCGAATTAGCTTCACTGATTTCAGCCGAGCCACTCAGTGATGTCTTTAAAAATGTTTTAGGATCATTTTAGACATTTTTATTTGATTTTTGTATAGGGACAATTTAAATGTGGTATCATTAACACAGGTGGCTCATGTAGAGAGATATTCCTTCACTGTCTTTGACGTCTGCGTTTTGACTTTCCTGCAAAAAGAGTATGCAAGGGCCAGGTGTGGTGGAAGTTAAGCAGTAAGCTACATTTAATGCAAATGGGTGCTGTGGAGACCCGCAAAGTGGCGGAAAAGTTAAAAAAGGAGAAATAGACTACCACTTGCTGGTGGCGTGAAGCCACAAGAAAATAATACGGATTTCACAGAAAGAAAAGCTTCTTAGTGGCTAAAAAATTCGTCCTCATTCGGGGATCGAACCCGGGACCTTTCTGGGGCGGTCACTCGACCAATTGAACTAATGAAGAAGCTGGCATTGTGAGGGCGAATTCATCGACAACTCAAAGCACATGTACCAAAGTAATTAATACAAATTAGTTCTGCGAAACCCCACAAGGTGGCGGAAGGGTGAAGAAAGGGAGCACAAAATGTTGTGCAGCTTCAGGCACCATGACAGACATTAGTGAATGGAGCCTTCCATTACGATGCCCCTTATAATTATATTGTGGTTTTCGGAGGTAAAACTCCGCATATTATTTTAATATTAATTCTAGCCCCATAGAGCATGGCATGTGGGGAGGATTTGCCTGCACAGCTCTGACACTACATGGGAGGCAACGCGATAGCATAGCAGTAAGTCTGTGACAGCGAAAGGGTTCCTGCAATATGTTTTTGAGTTGTGACGAAATAGTGCATGTCGCTACAATTAGCGTATTTTTCTTTACGAATTGTATGTAGCAAAAGTTTTCTAATCCGGAAAATGTGAGAGAGGTCGTGGGGATTTCTCACATGTTTCATGTGCATTCTCTCTCCTCTTGTAGTAGCGAGTGCACTGAAAAAGATGCGTCTCTTCATCAGCACTTTTTTTTCCCCTTTGAAAATGTTGCTTACTTTCAGTTTGATTGTGTGCTTGGGCACGTTGCTGTATTTCGTGGCTGCTTGGTAATTGGCCGTAGAGATGGGTATGTAGAATTATTTGTAGAAAAAAGAGGGAGGGATTATTAGGAAAATTCTAAAATTAATTGTAAATTCCAGGCTGCACACAGCGCTACAGTATTTCGTTCAAGTCTTCTCTGGAGCCTCTATCATTGATAGGCAGCATTTTCTGTCCGTGTTCAAAAAGAGTCCTTGCGAGTACCTCGTTGGTACCTGCAATGCCTATGTGTTGTTGAATTGAGTGGAGTGTTAGCTTGAACTCTGTCGTCTTCATTTCTAGTGCAACTCCGGGGGAAAAGCAGTGTACCTGGGATAGTCTCCCAGTTCATCATTTGGCACAATGAGAGTTTCTTGTTAAGTATAACTTCGTAGTTGCCTTAGTGAACACATATTTTTATTTAGGCATCTTCTCAAACTTTTGGTGGCCACATTCATAGATCCGCAAACCCACTTATTGGCCAACTTATTCAGACTGGCTCAGGCTCTGATTGAGCTCTCAGTTTGAGTGAACCTAGGTGAATGATACCTTGGTGAGATTGAGTGCGAGCGAGTCCTTTACTCAAAATATAATTCATGAGTTAGTTTGTGCGAGCTCCACATTTTAGTGCCGACCTCTGGTGATATGTGCTCAGGTTTATCTGTAGTATTAGTTTTATGTCGGCTGGCATTAATAATGATGTCTACTCACGCATACTTCAATGCACGGGCATTCATACTCTAGGTGAATATTCATTGATCACAAGCATGAGTTACGGATGGCCGAGGTACATTGGTCTCCTTCCCACAATCTCCTTTGCAGGATGTTCTTAATGCGGCTGTTCCGCTACTGCTATTTTGCCAATAGTTCAAAAGAAGACACCAGACGACTCATCCATGTTGTCAAAAAGGGAACAAATTGGGCACGCAAGTACGGCTAGTGTGGCCTCGCGCGAGTCGACCGACATCAGCTGATTAAAATCCGGGAGCAAGAACGTGGATGGCGTCCTCCACCTATGATCGGCCAACGGTTGGCGTCGTTTTAACGGCACTATGAAAGATGCCCCAGTGATAGCTGGCAGACTGAAAGTGGCGTCGTTTCACTCAAGTGTAAACAGAGGCATACACACACACGCACACTCTCTCTCTCTTGCTCACTCATGTCCATGAAATAATGATTGAACATAACATCAGTCAAACGCTTTGAAGCCTTTGAGTACACTTCCATGGCCGTCAACCTTCATCTTGATGTAGAGGCTGTGGCGCTGGCTTGATATAGCGTCGTGCGAGCACTTTTTTTTTTTTTTTCGGGTCATGAGGGTAATGCAGCGTGTGACACATGATTTGCATTACCCTCATGCTATCTTTGTTGCTTTGCAGGTATTTGGCATTCCATGTGCAGTGCTATTCACTCGTGTCCGTACCAAATGGACTGCATTCTTGCTGGCAGTGTACTCACAAGATCGAGGATAGGAGAACCATGAAAACGCATCTTTGCATTCACCTCGCCGAGCATCCATCCCAGTTTTGCGTGTGTCCAGTGGCGTTTACTTGGAGCAACTGTCTCGAAGTGCATTCATATTCATACTGGAGTTTGCTACTTTTCCTGTGTTCAGTGCACGTTTGAGACTAAGCATAGCAAAAACATGATTTTGCCTGGTACTAAAGTGTGCCCTATTTCATACAGCCCCTGCAAATTGCGATTTATTTCGCTAATCCACATGTGATGTTCTCATATCCCGTCTTTTTGTAGTCTCTAAGAGAGCCATATGGTCATGGTATAAGATGAAAACACCCGGCCTGCGCAGTAGGTGCAGCACAGTCACAGCAAAAGCTAGAAGAGTGGCCTTTCAGAGCCTTTTCAAAACACTCATTGGGCAACTACTGGAAGCAAACTTGCTTAGTACCCACTAGGGCATTAATAACAAACTTTTGGGTAGTAGGCCGGCATTTGCTATGCTATTTTTCTTCTTTCTTCTGAGATGCGTGGTATCCACTAAACACTTGCAAGGAATTTTGTGCCGATTGTCCATTCAGTGGCTGACAATGATAAGGAATTAAGGCTGAAGTGCGTATGCACCACAGTTAACAGGGGAACAAGAACAAGCTTTTGTAATGGTTTGGAGCATATGACGGCCCACTCGTTACGCTATTCCCATTGTGCGACGACTGGTTGTTCTTTGACTGTTGTAAAAGGCTTTATAAGTCGTATTAACGCGATTGCTTTCCCGACATCAAGCCTGCCTGAGGCAAGTTTGACAACAAGTCACAAGCACCGGTGTAGCTCAGTGGTAGAGTATTGGGCTGGCACCCAGCGGACCCGGATTGAAGCCCCACTGTGTCATTGGTGCAAGGTTTTTTTTTTTCTAATTTCGCGCGATGTGGTTACGGACACCGACGACAGCGGATAACATGCAACTGCGCGTGACCCGCAAAGTGATCTCATAACAGCTTTCGCTGCAAAAGCTCGTGAGACCCATAGTTCGTAGGTTCGATCCCGTCCGTGGCGGTCACATTTCAGTGGAGGTGAAATGTTAAAGGCTGTGTAGTGCGATATGCTGGTACACGTTAACGAACACCAGATGGTTGAAATTTCCGTAGCCTTCTGCTACGGCGTCTCTCTATCATATCATGCTTTCACGACATAAAACCCCCAGATATTGTCATTTTCTTTGAAAAAGAGAGGGGGAGAAATCAAAGAAGAAAAGTTTTCTCGTAAGGAGGGATTTGAACCAACATACATGTAGTGCTGAGTCATGTTGGAAAGCTGATGGCTTTGTTTGTGAATATGTATATTTCGTGTAATGATTTCTCAAAACTCTTTTTGTATGCAATGTTCTTTTATATTGTGAATGTCTATTTAGCACTACCGCTGTTACACGCAGCACGAGCAAGACCATGTCGGGAGGTAAATCACTTTCTTTTGTCCTGACTGGGGTCAATGCAATTGTATTCTAAAAAAATGAAATAAAAATACCACCATGGGGGAGCGGCTAAGTGCGCACAAATAGCAAGCTAGTTGGGGAAGTTAGAAAGCGGAGTAGAGAGGCTATGATGGAGGAGGAGGAAAAGGACAAGAGTGTAGAATATACTGTGGAAATAAATAGGAAGAGTGACACAGAATTAAAGGCAAAAAGAAAAAAAAGAAATATGTAGAGAGAGAATCACAAAAAAAGAGTTAAAGGTACAGAGCAAGAGAAATAAATAAAAAGTGATAGCGAGATGCAGGGATGGAAAGAGAGATAGGAAGAAAGATGTGGAGAGAGAGAGAAAGAAATAGAGGATGAAATTATGGAGGCATAGAAATCGACCAGCCCCTCCACTGCTACTAGAGTGGAGGTAGCTGTAAACGCGTCACTGATGCAGAGCTGTGCTCTGCTGGTCCCTCCCCCACCCCCTTTTTTCTGATGTTCAAAAGTCAACACTTGTGGCGGGTGTACAGGAACAGATGTTGTATCATTACGGCTACTTTTAAGCAAAGGAATAAGTCTTTTTTTGGATGACGTACTTCTGCCTTTTCAGACACTTTATTTAATTCTAGTGCAGCAGCGTTAGCATGCATTAAAAAAACTCCTGACTGGACTCTTTCATGCAGGTGCAGCCAAAGTATTTGCGCAGCTTCAATTGCCCTCTGAACAGTTTGGCCGCTTCAAACACTGCATGGACGTTTCCACAAGCCTTCTGCTCTCTCCCCGATCAGTTTCAATGAAAGCTCCAGTCAAGGCTACAGCTATAGCCGTGTCCAGAAATCCTACAGCTTGCATGGCATATCCTGCCTTGCAAGCACGCTGCAAGACATAAGTCGCTACCAAGACAGACATTTCTATCAAAGTGTACCCTACAAGCAGCAGCCCCAGCAACAGCCATGTGCACTCGTGGTCTCCAACTTCAGTCTTGGCAGCATGTTCAGTCTTGGCAGTCTGGATTGTGGTTTGTAATAGAGAGCTTAACAATGGGAAATTGAAGGGGAGCATGCAATATTTTCTCTTTGAACTGCATTGAAAAATCTATTATGCATCACCAGCACTGCATATGAACAGCTTTAAATCATAGAATCTTTGCCACGATTCAGGTAAGGCTAGTCAGCTTGAGAACATGGGCATGTTTGTTGTGGATGAAGTCGTGTGGAACTTAGCTGACCCATCAGACTTTCTGTATTCTATATTTATTTATTTGTCTTCTTCCAGTGCTTATCAGTTATGTTTGTCAGTCATCAGCCTTACATTTGCTTCATTTTGCTATGTGCTATACACAATATTAATGATAACTAACACAGAGTGATGCCGAGCTAAGTACAGGGGTGGTTTGTGTAGTAATTGTAATGTAAAGGAAGAGAGGTGGATGAAAAGATTACTTTCTGCCGGCAGAGACCTTTGAATAACACTTCAAATGCTCTACAGCTCCACTGTAGAGCATTTGAAGCATTTGAATAGCCATATTGGCATTTTGGAGCATTTGAATATACCATATTAAGAGGATGGGTCGTCCGCCCATCCTCTTAATATGGTATATATATGCACATTTAAACGTAAGAGTGTCAGCTTTTACTGTACCTTCTTTGTGATTGCAGTGCATATATTGGTTGTTTCCAGGACTGGAATGTTAACTCCTAATTGTTCCTTCATTTTTGATGGAACCACAGGTGACAGACCCACCGTCCCGAACACTCTTCTACCTCAATATTAAGTGGAATAAGCTGCTTTAAAATAAATTTTTGTAACTTGAGCACACAAGAATCCACACTCTAGTTGATAAGCGCCGCATAACGAAGCACAGCGTCACAATGAGCTAGAATACGTGCATGCGCGCCGCAATGAACAGTTCTGTGCAGCTTTCTTATCGCGCCATTCCAGAAGCCGGACACGGGATGGCAGTAGGCTGTGCTTACTGACTTAGCAGTTTACACTCGTGCGTTTTGGTTTAAAAAATGGGTAGCCACACATACCGTCTTTCATCATGGTTGCTCTCAATCTACAATTTCAAAAGTGCCTTAGTGAAAGACATGTTTTTTTGTTGGGACTCGCCAATAATGCACAAGGTAGATATGTCACTTATTTAAATATGTGCTCCTTTTCCACATGAAATGTTTTTTTTTTTTTTTTTTAAGTGCAGAGCACTTGAGGGGCGTAGGCTGTCGTCTACTGCTGTCGCGGCTTGCTGTAACGCAGGCAAAAACCACATGTAGCACAGCCAGCTGTTGCACATTGAGTATGTGAACACACCAAAGATAAGTGTTTTGTCTCTTGTTCTGTTGAGTGCTTCTTCTACACTGTACTGCACCTTTTGCACTCACTCATTTTGCACTCGTTGGCTATTTTTCTGTAGCTTTGGGCTCAATGGCTAAAAGCCTTTATTTTTACATAGATACAGACAGTACCTATTTTAGTAAGTACAATTTCTGTATGAATCATCTAGAGCAGTGTTATGAATATCTTGATTTTTACACCATGCTTGGAGGAAGCATCGCTTTATTTCTAAGTCAGTTACTACATTTAGGTAGTATCTCAAGTGGCTTTTCTAGTTTTGGTTTCACAGCATGTACCTACTGTACTGTCCTTTAATTCATCTTCGTGAGATTAAGGGTTACAGGTTACCAGTAGATAATATCATAATTACGGAAATTCTGAGCACTCGCCTTTTTACGCGATTGTACAGTACACTAGGAAGTTGCACCTGCAACATATTGTGCTTCTTCACGAAGACTTGGACCCACACCATTACTTTAACTGAAAAGGCATATGCAATTCTAAGGAGAGATGCTAGTCAAAAAGCACTATTAACGCGACAGTGAAAGAGCTCGTTTCGCAGAAATTTCTGTGTCTGTATTGGTGTCGTTGGTTATGAGCAAAAAATGATCTGAGTGACCGAAAGAAAACGAGAACGATGCAATTAAAATAAATAATAAAAAAATACTGGTCCAGAGTGGGGATCTCACCCAGTTAGTTTGGGTCCGAGTGGAGATTGAAACCGGGTGATCTGCGTGACATGTGGATGTTTTAACACACAACCCAGGGGTGCAACAGCTGCGCAGATTGCGCCAATTTGATACAATTCCCCAATTTGCACTCAGCTGCGCCAAAATGCCCGACTTGCCTCAAAACTTTTTAATTTATGCTAATTTCAGCGAGAAACGGAGGCCACATTGTCTATCTACAATTTGAGTCATAAACCATTCCAAGCATGCAGATCCCTAGCGTTAAACCAGGGTAGCCTAACCCCGCTAACCTTAATCCCATTAGGTCAAGGCACTCGCGGGACGTGATCGGCCAGATAAAAAAACCAAGTTGTGCGCCCATCGGTCCACTCATCTCAACAAATACCTACCGGCGGGATGACGCAACTTCAAGACATAAAATGCGTTGCCGTAGCCACAAATGCTTCAAATGCTTCGCGGGAAGCATGAACTTTCTAGTCGGCAAAAGCGGCTACGGAATGTTAGTAACTACTTCACTTCACTTTATTACCTTAAAGACCCCCTACAGGTGGTATTACATAAGGGGTGGGAAACATACAACAAATGTAATACATATGCAGGATGGGTACAAGTATGAACAGGGGTAACCAATACAGAAATAAAATAATACATGTGCAGGATCAGTATACATATTAACAGGTGCAACACCTTGCCAAAAAAAGAAGACAAAGTGAGAACGAGTGGCACAAAAAGGAACAATGTAATGTATTAGAGTTGGAAGCGCATACTTCGCTTTCCGTACACGAACAGAGTTGACATGTTGCGAACGCTGGCGTTGCCAGCGACCACGTTGATCCCCTCAGCAACGGCACATGAAACATCTTTTCTGTCTCGAAGTTGCATTAGTTAAGTCGTCCCGGCGATATATATCTGATGCGGTCCCCGGACCAACGGGCGTGCACCGCTGTTACTTCATCTGGTAGAACACGCCTTGCAAGCGAGCCAAAATGTGTCCTAAACCTAACCCCTCATTGTAAATAAAAAAAAAACACGAGGAGGGGAAGGAGGCGTAGCGGTGTTTGAAAATTTCTTGGCCTTGTTCTAACCCATGCAGAGCGATGCTTAAAGGGAACTATCAATCAAAGGCAACTATTACGCCGATGTTGATTGTTGAACTAGTTGTCCAGAAGCCTCGTAGTGTTACTTTTGTGCCAAAGGAGGGCCTATTTTGAAATAAAATTACATTTTAGTGGTTCGCATCGTGTTAGCGTAATTCAAATTACCCGCCTCAAAAGCGGACCGACTGGACCGACTCCTGTCGGTGTTGCCCGGCTTTACTGCGTTAGTTGCAGAAGACCACACTTGCCTAGGCTATCAGTAATCTTTCTGTTATACCTCTATCATTCTAAATCTGAACAGTAAATTTTAAAACCACTCGATTCTTGGCCAATCTCCCACAGTGGGTATGCGCCACTAACAATAGGAGAACAACAACAACAACAACAACAGACGGAAAGCAGCAGGAGCCACAGCAGCAAAAACGGCCATTGATCAATTTCGCACCTTTGGGTTAGAGATTGCAGACGTTTTTTTATTCAACTGCGCCCCGCTAGATAGCACCACCTGTCCAATGTAACTACGCGAAATTGCAATTTTTGAATCAGTCGCGTCATTCCCCATAGTAACGTCTGGCGGTTCTTTTTTCCATGAATCAAACGGAAACGAACTGGCAGCCTTTTATTGCATCTCTTGATGCACGGAATGTTCTTTATTTAGCACAGCTAGATCGATTACTAGTCATTTAATTGTGGGCGGTTCGTCTCATATCATCGGGATCATTTGAATTGTCCTACAGCT